CGCCCCCTTCGCAATCATACTATAGAATATCACATACGCACTACTCACGAGCCACTAGGTCCAATGCTATCCGACGACGTATCACGGGTATGTCATCTGCGGTGAAACAAAAAGGCGGAAGTTGGCTCCGTGCCAAAAGTGACGCGTACGTGAGTACAAAGACCCCACATTCGTTCGTGTCATGTTGCTTTGGAATGCCCTCTACATTCCATATGTGATTGAATGGTTTCGTGTCCACCTCTTTGCCTTGCACTTTCGATCTTTCAAATAAAAACTTTGCAAACCCGCCGGTCACTTTTAACGCGAACTCCTTGTTGGGGTCGAGGGGTTCGTAAAATTCGAATTTCCTCCTCCTTAAGTCAGCCACGACCAAGGTCCAGTGGTCCTGGTGTGCGATATGGAAAGGAGCAATAATCAAATCCATGTCACTTATAATCACATCCTGGTACCAGCGTTCTACCTCTCGGCCTCTATATCTCATGTCATTATCGAAAAGTTTGACGAAAAAAAACGAGCTCAGCACTGATACTCTGGGAATGCGAACGTTTCCTTCTCTAATGACTATCTCATTATCCGCGTCGCATTCTACGTGTTGTATTCTACAACAGTTGTCTAATGCTACGAGGTTGAGATAAAAGTTGATCACGTTGTCGTTTAACCACTATTGTTCGACGACGAGTAAAAGGAAATCGCTGCGAGTGATTTGCAACACTTCGTTATTGTGCGCATCTTGTGTGCTGACAATAGGGTACCTATTCCCGTATTCGCGAATGATATGCGCTAGTGTTGCCATCTCCCTCTCCGATAAATACGAAGTTGCGAGATGCATTGTCCATCCTCTTTTGCACAATCTTGTATCCGTTGTTGTCATTTGTACTGCACAGCACAGACGGTGAGGAAGAGGACATTCACGCGGGCGGACAAGGCAGGTATTGTGAGTGCATGGCCAAACGCTTTGTGAGAGTTGATGCATGCAAGGCATGTTTTCATTATTTCTCTAATATTTTACTCTGTCTCTTATACACATCTAGATGTGTATAAGAGACAGGAGAGAGAGAGAGAGAGAGAGATGTACAATACCACACATACGCTCCCACCACGATTTGTTACTGGACGTCGAGACGGGCAGTCAATCTAAACATCTCAGGTCTATTAAAAATTTGAGGTTAAAAAAAAATATATATACATAAATGGAAAAACGATGTAGAAGTAGCTGTCTCTTATACACATCTAGATGTGTATAAGAGACAGGAGATGTACAATACCACACATACGCTCCCACCACGATTTGTTACTGGACGTCGAGACGGGCAGTCAATCTAAACATCTCAGGTCTATTAAAAATTTGAGGTGAAAAAAAATATATACATAAATGGAAAAACGATGTAGAAGTAGTGCCTACGGAGACTAATACGAATTCTGTTTTAAACAAAACAACGAACCAAGTCAATTACACAATTTCGTTCAACAAGGCGGAGGTGAAGTTGTAATTATATCACTGGATTCTCCCCCTCCAATTGCACCCCTCCTGCCTAACTCATCCTCACCCTTTTAATCAATATCAGCGGTTAAGGTGTCGAGGTTGGAAGAACGGTGCATTCCCTCCACATCCCCTCCCTTCCCGCCATCCCCACCGGCCCCTCCCTGTGGTGTCAGCGGTGATTGTGCATCACCTTTGCCAGTGCATAAAGACGGTTGCAACTGACTCTCCGCCACGCTCGGCCCAACATCAGATTCTGACTCGATCTCGGATCTGCCTTGCATTGCAACATTTGTTATCAATAGACTCCCATACGTGGCACCTGCATCCGGCGGCAACGTCGTTGACACAGCGAAGGGTGGGGACGATTGTGCCGCGGCGACCGAGATGGATTTTTTCGATATTTGCGGCATTGACGTCATGTCAACCTCTTGAGGCCCGACAACAGTAGTCCTGTCATCTCCCCTGTGCCCTGTTTGCGTGGCCACGGAGGCCGGCTCAGCCGAAGGCATGAAATCATGAGAGCAGATCCCCTCCAAGGTTCTGGCGGTTTGATCAACCTTCCAGTTGATTCATCCGCGTGAGGGACTCGAGCGCAGGGCATAAAATTTGTTGTTGTACTCCAGTTGCCGATTGTCGCGCATTACATGAAACAATTATTCGGCCTTGGCTTTGATGGCGGCCTCGCTCTGCCCTGGATTCTAAACGCGCACGCGATGCAGGATCGCGAGCTCCGTTATTTTCAACCAGATGTTCTTTGACATCCAGCGAAAAGTCTTCCAACCGCTTGTGTATTTCACCGCCATCTTCCACTCCCCATCTTGGATGCACGGCTGTAAAACGCCCTCATGCCATATGATGTCATGGCCCCATTGATCCTCGTCTGTGTAGGTGTGTTTGCCTTCCAAGAAATAAATCGTGTTCGGGTTAGCACAGTAGCCTGGAGGAATTGCATCGCCTGGTGCGAGCGTCGACGCCTCGCCTGGTATCCCGATGTCGTCTTCTTCATTGCCATCGCATCTTCCAATGTCTTGCAATGCAGCAGTCTCCGACGGGGCCACCATTGAGGCGACGCTTGGGGCGGCCACCGGGATGGACCCTTCGTGCGAATGGACAGTTCCATCATCATGAGTTTGCACCATTCCTCCGAGCGGAACCTCAGCACATGTATCCTCGCCCAGTTTGAGGTCGGAGTCCGAAGAATCTTCCTCGCTGTCGACGGGGTTAAAGTCATCGCCCGATTTCGCGAGCTCCGCGTAGTCCTTGGACGTCAATGGGTCTTTGCGAAGATCGAACTTGAGGATCTCGCATCAAGCAACAAAAGTCTCAAAGGCGCCAGTGAGAGCACCGTGATAATGTTTGAGGATCTCTGTTGCCTTTGCTTTCCTGTATATATATTTCTCGTCAAGCCGTCCTTGTGGCATATCGCGGAACAGGTACTCCCACACCTTCAGTCTCGTAGGCCCCAACTTATGGAACATGTCCCTGTTCGGGCGATGTTTGCAACGCGGTTTCTCGACGTGGCAGTTGAATCTGTCGTCCTTGACAAGTATATCGATGAACTTCGTTAAGTATGCAATGTCCTTTGCCGACTCGTCACAGGCAATAACATTATTCCCTACCAGTAAGAATTCCCACACAAGACCCGCGTGCGCCCTACCCAATAAAAGCACACCTTCCACCTCCCCGACGAATGACCCGCACAACGAACGCAACTTGCCAGACTCTCGCTCCCAGATGGAATACACCACACTTTCATCGCCCTCTATGTCACCGTGTTTCCCCAGACAATTCCCGAACTTGTCCTCCACAACATGCACGTTTGTGAGGTCATTGACAAGGCAGGGTGCGACCGTGACCTTTCTGAGATCCCCTCCCTCCGAGTGCAGGACAATGGCTATCATGTCTCGACTCGCTGTAGTGATATTGCCATACCTCTTGATGTCATTCGATGGCCTGTCCACCCGTTTCCAAGTCATGAGGATGAGTTCGATGTCCTCCCACTGGAATAAGCAACGCAGACCATCACTTTGCACCTTTTGCGGTGCTAAGACAAGAAGAACCCAATTAACGCCACAACACTTAGTCATCATAGAGTGGAGAGCGTCGAACTCTTGAGAGGTCCAGGTCGTGCAGAAGTTCACGGGGGAGATGTCAAGGATGACGGCCCTGCAGGTCATTTTTTGCGTCGCAGCGACGATGTCGTCTGGCGCAGCCAGCACTTCCTTCATTGGCATGCACACTGGTAGCAATGTTGTTTGTTTTTTAAGTTTATCCCACACGATATGACGTGCGCTGGAGGCGACCCGTTTACCTCTGCCTGAAGCAGATCGAGCTTATTGATTGAGGTGTATACAAACACCTTAAAGTGGAACGGAGCCTCCTTATACATTGTCGCCGTATGGCCCAAGCCTGATCCTTATCTTGCCTCCTCCACCCCTCCAAGTCGTCGAGGGACCGTCTTCACTTTGCTGACATGCAGCTTGTCCCGTTCCTTCTCCCATTCAGCCGCACACAGACTGTTCGGCCCATACCTGTCTTCGAGGTCCTTGTATGACATGAAGAAGGCATCATTCTACTCATCGTCCGCCCTTCCCTCGGCGCGAAAAACAACGTAGTTGAACATACGGACCATGTACCGTTCCTTGCGCATGATGTTGAGGAGGCACTCCATATTCACTCTCAGAGGCATGACCTTGACGTTCGTCGTGACCACCTTCCCTTTCATGAGGAGGAGCAATGCAACTTCCTCTCGCGGCACGTCAAATCCCCAAAAATTTTGAAGTAGGAAGGATAGAGATCCTTCCACGACACCGTGGAGCCTTTGGGACCATCTCTCGCGTATATGCAATGGTATAATGTTCTTCGCCCCTTTGTCTCGTAGGTGTACGGGCCTGGCTGGCGCCCCTCCATCCTACTCGGCATGTCAAGCGGTATTTTACCATCGCCAACTGGCAGCTTCCCGTCGTTAAACATCTCGAAGAACTTCTCGATCAGTGGCCACACAGCCTCGGTGGATGTGGCGAGGTTCATGTAGCCACGGACTTTATTGCTCCAATCCTTACTGTACTCATTCTCGATCGCTTGCTTCACGAACGCCTTGTCGCATGCCTTCCCCATGGAGGCCCTTAAGAAATTATGCCACTTCTTTTGGTGCGCAACGGCGACCGCATCCTTATCGCCGACCTTGCCTTTCGGGGCCTCGATTCGATGGTTATCGATCCACCATTGCCTCATATCACGGACAGCATCCTCGAAGGACAACATCATGGCCCGATTTTCGCGCGTGTTGTCGAAGGCGGAAACATTGAAATACCCTCGCGTCTGCTCATCTCTAAAATAGACGACCCGCACCTTAGAGTACGCGCGAAGGACATAGACGTCGACTGTCGGAGAGCCCTTTTTTACCAATGTTTTCATGGCCTCGACCGTATGCTGACCACAGACAGCTTACCAATCGAACTCCGAGGAGTCTTTTTCCAAGAATTCGGTCGGTATTATCCGCCTACCCTGCCCGCCAACGATGTCGTTGCGGTCAACCGGCGCAAGCACGAGGTCAAGCCTATCTCACGCTCCCGGTTCCGTGGTGATGGAACTCCCAATGGCATTCACGATGCCTCGCACAATGTTCGTAGACAAAGAGCGGTGGTTAAAAAGAATATTCCCGCAGGGAATGCGTTTGATTTTCATGACGTCCACAAGAACAGGAAGGACTTTTTGCTTAGCAAAACCCCGCTCGTCATACTCGAGGAAGAAACAACGCGTCGTGTCGATGGGCGCAGCGTGCTGAAGCGGTTCATCACCATCGTCGGGCATGTGAGGGCCCACTCCCTCGCCCTCATCCCCTGAGTCCCGCAGTTCTTCTGCCCGCACTATCTGCTGACCTTTTCTTGCGCCACCACGGCCGCCGCCACGACCGCCAGATCTTCCCCCCTGGCTTCTCTTCCGAGGAGGTCTCGCCTCCTGGGATGCCACCAGAGCTCCATGAGCCTCATTAACAGCATCAGTCCTCGCTTGTCTCTTGTGAGCGGAAGTAGAAGGAGAAGTTTCTCTTGTCCTTTTCCTCGACTTTGATCCTACGTGCTCCTGCAAGTCATGCCCACCCTGACTCCCGCCTTGCGAATGCCATATCGCAGGGGATGACAAGGTCGGACCAACAGTCGCTCCCATAGAACCGGTGGGGATGTCGCCAGGGCCATGCTCCGACGTGACACCAACGTCGTCATCGCCAAGCATGTTTTGGTGCTGCATGTTCTCATCCCCAACGTCCATATACTCGTCATCACCGTCGTCTTCACGTGGACCGTAGTTTCCCCCATCTTCTTCCTTTTCGTTTCGCTCAGTAAGGGCAGTCGCACCTTCCTGGGCATTGTCACGTGCAGCATTGCGTCCGTACAGATTTATGTCGTCGTACTCCGTAGCCTCGCTAGAACATTGAGCGATATCGTGACCTCCCCTCAACGTGGGCAAGGGCGAGGGCGACGCGGCTGGCAAAGGCGGAGCTGGACAAGCAGCCAACTCTTTCCTCTTCCCAACCGGCGCGGATGGCGTCTGTCGTGATTTCCTCGAGCTCGTGACAAAGGGCACGAAAGCGCAGTCGGCTTGCTGGTCCAGAGGCAGCCTCGAGAAGGCTTCCCTGTACTCCTTAACAACATCTGGCAGTTGGTCCGCCGGGCTGCTGAATTTCACCAAGGGTTTGGTGAGCTGCAAGGAACTTTCAACGACAGGAAGGCAGCCAGTGATGCGGTAGCCGTTCGTTCTACTGAGGAACTGTTCCGCAGTCAGCATGCGAAGCTCGGTGCCGTCCCCGCGCACGTCAAACGCTTTCATGGAGAAAGCCTTGATGCTGTTGTCTTCCTTGACCCAATTTGTGCCATCCTTGTCGAAAACTGACGTAAGAAAGAAGGTCCTGAACGACCTCCTGTCGTAGGTATTCCTGGCGCTCTCAGATTTCTCAACACCCCCACAGCAGTACCACGTCGCACCATTGTTGTCGCTCAAGAAGACGACGACCCCACACCCAGGCCTATGCAGACCACCAACCTTGTCCAGAGCCCATGGTTTGTTGTTGTAGATTTTTGACCTGCCATATGCCAGAGAGGACGAAGCAGCAGGTTGACCTCGAGGGCACAAACAAAGGAAACGCACAAGCAAAGAACAAATGAGGAACAAAGGGAAGCGCTTCGCATGTGGAGTCGACCCACGTTTCTGGAAAGGGGTCCGGCGTTCCCTAGACGCCCACCCCCCCGACCCTCGTTTCTGAAAGGGGGTCCGGCGTTCCCTGAACGCCCGACCCCCGACGTCTCCGGAAAGGGGGTCCGGCGTTCCCAGAACGGCCGACCCCCGACAGGCCTTTATGGAAGGGGGTCCGGCGTTCCCAGAACGCCCGACCCCCGACCGTCGTTTATGAAAGGGGGTCCGGCGTTCCCAGAACGCCCAACCCCCGACCGTCGTTTATGAAAGGGGGTCCGGCGTTCCCAGAACGCCCGCCTCGATTTTTCTACATATTTCAAACATAAAAATATATAAATAAGAAAGGTGGCACCTCATACCTCCTCGTACCTTTGGTCGCCATGGCCGATTCACACGCCGTGTGGAAGCACACGCTGGAAGTCTCTCTCTCTCTCTCTCTCTCTCTCTCTCTCTCTCTCTCTCTCTCTCTCT